CAGTTTAGCAAGGCACCCACGAAGAAGGCAGGGCAGCTGCCCAGCACCAGCCATCAGGGACTACAGTGCTTAGAGCACTTTGCATGGGATGTGATCAGAGGGTGCACATACTTAATGCTCAGCCAAGGTACTCTTTATATTTATTACGCTCACATGCTTATTTTATCTGATGTTCTTAACAGTCCTTTGACATACAAAAGTGTTATTATCCCCCATTTTTCCCATGAGAAAATTGATGCTTAGAGAGGTGACAAGTCCTTCCCAGGGCCTCAAAGTTAGGAAGCGGCAGGGGCAGGAGTGAGCTCAAGTCCCCTGGCCTAATCCTTGAGTATGCCTGGAACTAAATGTCCAAGGCATAGTATAAAGGAAAGCCATGTCACAAGTTTAAATAGAGAGCCTAGCAAGGGTGCCAGGAAATGTTAAAGGGGCAGCCACTACTCAGATCCAGCCTAGCTTGTAAGATTTCTCTGGTTTTTCCAGAAATCTTTCATTCTTTTAAAGTGAACTATCCATTTTTTTTTTTCAAATGTTGACAATCACTTTAAAGTTAAAATACATAGATACTATTGAGTTAACCGTCTGTGGGGCCCAACCAAACACACCTGTGGGGTGGATTCAGCCCATGGACTCTGACAGAAAATAGTAAGTGTTCACGAAAATAGAAAAACTTCCTAAGGGCCTGACTGTGCACTCCTCACACTTCCTGCCATTTTAGAAAGATGTTGCTACCTGGTCATATGACCTTGAAATCCTCCTTTTACTGTCTGAATTTTTCTCTTGTGTCCTGCCACATACATGGTTTCTGTCTTGTTAACGAGCCTAGGGGCCTGGCCTTTATTAAGCATTTGTATGTACAGGGTGCTTTACTGATAGGCACTCCTGTCTGTTGTCCCAACAACCCTACAAGATAGGTATTGTGCCCCCCTTTAACAAATGAGGGGACAGACAGGAGCTGGAGTCATACCCTGATAGTTGAAGGCAAGATCAGAGAGCAAGTGTAAGCCTGTTTTTTGGGGGTGGGGTGGGGGTTGCCTGCTCTTTTATAACAGCCACAAGGGGTGTGTTTGCTCATGAACGTTGGCTTCACTCCAGTGATTCAATTACTGCCTGGGCCTTGGTGACTTGTGATGCAGCTCCTGGCGCTTCCTGGTGTCTTCCTTCCACAGTGTGCTCCGTGACACTCTTTCCACCTCCCCTTCTCTCCCTGCTTCAGGTCTCTCTAGACGACGATTAAAATGCCCTAATTTCCCTAGTGGGACATTCTGTTCCTAGGCATTTCTAGGACCCTGAAAGTTCAGATGAACAACATTAAAACCAATACAAATGATCTGAATAGCAAAATGCTGCATATGTTTATTCAAATCTGTTAGCCACATGCAAAAAATGAAAACAAGGCTACTGGGGGTCTGCACATGCCTTGGCCTGAGTGGGATAGAGCGCTGGCGGCGCAAGATCTCCAGATGCTGACCTCGGTCCTTGCCTAGGAGGAGCAACAAGAACATTCTTGCTTAGCTTGTGGATGAGCGGGGGAGGGGCTGTCCTCCAGGGCGTTAGACAGACAAACAGATACCGTCTGCACCAGAAGAGGTATTGCACAAACATGAGGCCCTCGGCAAGCTCGGAACTCCAGGCCAGGGAGCATCGAGGTCACCCTTGATTAAGAACCACACCGTGGACTTTGCAGTGATGACCCGAGTGTTTGTGAATCGATTCTATCGGAATTGCATCCTTCTCTTGGTACAGTGCAAAGTGTGGCTTCTGGGGTGAAAAGGCTTACAGGCTAGGTCAACTTGGAGCAAGTTTTTCTGACCTCAGTCGTCTCACCTATGAAACAGGGACGGAATAGTAATACACCTGTTGCAATCACAGCGAGGCTCCCTGAGCTGGTGCGTATGAAAGCACCGTGTGCAGCTAAGGTTCCGCACAAAGACCACGTATTGTTTGCCTTGGAAGCTATTCTTGGAGTAAGAATAAAGCACACTTTTCATCCACCTGGTAGCACAAACAAACAGCCAGACATCTTTGCCAGTAAGGGAAGACCAAAGAAAGCCCTCTGAAGGTACAGAGATGTTCAGGGACGTTTGTTTCGCAAGCTCTCACTCTGATTCAGCCCCGGCCCAGCTGTTGAGATTCTAGGCAGCAGCTGCAGGTTGGGAGGAAATCCTCAGCTCCACCTCCAGCCCCCGTGCACATCCCCCACGCCTCCAGAATCAAAGGGCAGTGGGCCTCCAGCATAGATGGGAGGCAACTCAGCTTCTTAAATTGAAACAATATAATTTTGATCTGATTTCTCCACAGAGAGAGAAATTATATTCTTTGAAAAGAGAAACTGTATTTGAATTGGGAGCTTGAGAGAGAGGTTGGCAGGGCAGAAGGAGGTGGCTGGCTACCTGAAGCAGAGGAGGTATCGGGATGACAGGAAGGCTGTTCTGGAAGGGGGTGGGTCAGAACACAGACATCAGAATAGGGGAAAGCTGCAGGGATCCAAGTGGGCGAGTGGGCGCTGTGCCTTGCTAGCTGTTTCTAATTGTGACTATAATAGAGCCAGGAAGTAAGAAAGTCCTTCATGTACTAGATGCAAAGTTTCTGGCCAATTCTGGAGGGGCCTACCCAAGCATTTTATAAATAGAGCCTGACTGTGGACTATTTGCTTATGCCCTGCGGGTGGGAGCAATGACTGATCCAGGCCTGATACTTGTGAACTGTTCTGCAGTTACAGGAACGCTTGCTCAGGCCTTGGAAACTTTACGCCCTGGAGGTTGAGAAGAGAATGCTTGGCGTTATTCTCATGCAAGGGGAGCATTTAGAAGTCCTTAGGGTGCAGCCTGGAAACCACAGGCTGCTCAGAAGGGGTGTCATGTTCGCTTTCTGGAGGCTGGGGGGCCAGTCCTCAGAACCAGGGCCAGCTGGCAGGGGAGCCCAGGGTAACGTGCTACAGGGAACAAAATGTGGAAGCAGCGTGTTGTGAATCAGGGCATTTCATACTTTTCACAGTGAGGCTGCCTACTGCCTGGGTCCCATTTCAAAGACTGTTAATAAGCTCTTGCCTGAAAGCACAGAAATGGGCTGGGCCATGCTACTGGGTGTGAGCAGAATCACCGGGAAGACATCCTAGGCCTGCTCTGGGTGGGGCAGGATGACTGAAGAATCTGTGGAAGAGGCAGCTGGTCAGGGAGTGTATTGAAACGAGGTCACCCTAGGCCTGGGCCACCCGCCCCGCCCCGCCCCAGGATTCCTCCTCCCAGTTTCCTGCACTGCTAGAACTTCCTGGTTTTAGGGGAATCCTCTGTTGGATGTCACGAGCCATTCCGTCCTGTCCTGACACGAGAGTGTAGCAGAATTGCTTAGGGATGCTCAGAAAAGGGCTGATGCCCCCAGAGCCCACCCAGACCCAGTCAGTCAAAACCTTTGAGGCTCATTAACCAGGGGAGGCAGACAGGTACACAGGGAATTTCAGTTTGTTGTGCTGGGTGTGACCTCTGAGGAGAAATATAATAGCAGCTGCTGTTTATAGAGTGCCTTGGTCCTATGCTAAACACTGTCTGTGCGTCAGCAAATTAAATCCTCAGAAACAGTATCCTTATATTACAAATGAGAAAACTTGGGCTCATGGAGGTTAAGTAACCTGTTTCAGTAGCCAGTTTCTTCCAGCTAGTTTGTGGCAGAGGCAGAGCCCAGGAATGAGAAGTTTGCTGATTAGGCTGGATTTTCAGAGTTATGCACATATTTAAAAGTTTTATTTGTGCATTTGACCCAAACCTGCCTTTGATTTCAGAGGGCACAAACCCTACCCAAGTCCTTGAACTCAGCCACTGGGAACATTCTAAGTGTGGAACTAGAGTGGACACTGGAGCCCGTGGGCTGCCTGTGTTTGCTAGCGATGCCACGGTGCCTTAAGACTTTGCTCAACCCTTGCATAGTGCCGAGGAGGCACACCTGTCGTCATCCACCTGCTCCTATGAGTCATAGGACTGCCACACTGCTACCAGGCCTGCCAGCTCTGCATTTTCCTCCAGTTGCCACCAGGCCCAGAGAGAACTTAGCTGTATATGGGAGGGGCTCCACATGGCATTCTTCCACAGCCTGCCTCCCCTTAGAATATGCCATTGGACAACCAGATGGGTTGAGGCTCAAGGTCCAGGAGGTTTCCTTAGATTTTCACTAGGTGGCTGGGGAAAGAGAGGAAGAGGGCGGTCTAGAGTCCAAGGGCTCATGCCAGAGAGGAGAGTAAACCTGTTAACATATGGCGGGTACAGGATTAGCAAGTGCCCTTCCTGGCTGCCAAGATGAAGCCAGAGAGGTCAAAGGAGAGAATGATTACATTTCATTAAATATGTAAGGCCTTTAGGCTGTTCATTGTATCCCATTTGACATTTCTGTGGATCTGTCTGTCACTGAGAATCTTCCAGCTGAAAGGTTCCCACTTTTCCTGGAAAGGTTCACCAAGGCTCTCCCAACTATTTCAAACTCTGATAGTACCTAAAACCCTCTGTGCAGACTTCGCCAGAGGCACTGTCTTTTGCCGTTTTCTGTTGCCAGAACTTGCATCCATGTAATATTTGGGTAAGAGAGCCAAAATGAAATAAAACCAAGCCTTCTATTAAAATACAAGTTCTTTTAAACTGCACTTGTAATGTGGCCTCTGGTCACACACGCTCACATTTGCTGGAGGCCCCTTAACTACTGCAAATGTTCATGTATGTTTGTTTCCCTTTAGAAAATCCTAGAACAGACTACTTTATGCTGTCTGTGGGGTGCATGGATTAAACTACTAACTAGTACTGGGTTTCTCAGACCAAAGATTTATGAAGGTGTGCTAATGGGTTACAAGCTTAGACACCTAAGCCACCACTCATTGCCAAGGGGTACTTTAGTAACTACTTCGTAGAAGCTGTTGGCTAGAAAAATGCATCCCTTTCACCTATGGTAATGCCAGGCATTAAAAATGTTTAAACAACTTAAAGATGACTGTTATTCACCTTTTTAAAAATTCTTTTCAGATTTCAGGTAAAAACAATAACTGAAGATGTCAAGCAAAACCGCAAGCACCAACAACCTCACCCAGGCCAGGAGAACTGTGCAGCAGTTAAGACTAGAAGCCTCCATTGAAAGAATAAAGGTAAGATGATTTGGTTGGATCAGATGTGTTTTCTGATTGGTTCCCTCACTCTCTTAACGCCAGGCCACGTTTCAGAGAAGATAATGCTACTTAATGCAACTTGGTGCCAGGGTTTTCCTAGAGCAAGCTGAGAGTCTTAGAACTTTAACTTCCATTTCCACCTAGCACAGGCCTCATTTCAAAAGCCCTGGGGAGCCAAAGTTAGCCTCTCTATTTAGACAGAAAACCTAAGACCCGTGACAGGATTTCCTGAGGACCTGCATTCCCTGAACGAACATGGTCAAGTCCTGTGATCATGAGGTTTTACGTTGGGACAGGGATTCCTTGTCACCCCTCTGGAATTTATTAAGTGTTCTGGATTTATCAGGGCAGCTGAGCTAGGCCTGCAGAACAAGTCAGCAGTCGGGGTCTCCTTTTTAGGAGAATGCAACCTTTTAAATGAGTGTGGACTTTAGTGACCGCATTCTGCACACAGGGTGAGTAATGCCAGCCCTAGTCGAGATCTGGAAGAAACCGGAAGGTATGTTTTAGGTCCCCTGACTTGGGAGCCTTTTTCTCCAAAATCCCAAGAAAGGACTAGGCAGTGAGTGCCCTGGAATGTTGTGAGTAATGCTGTTTCCTAGAAACTGAAGCAGTCACCTGATAAATTCCTCTGGGCCTAGAGATAGTCACCTGTCTCTAAAACATGAGGCCTGCTGTGTTTGACAGGGTTCGGCCGAGGACACTGATCCGAGTACTCCAAGGGATCTCCCACCCAGACTTCTGAACAGGGCCTGGCATTTTCCATTTTTAACTCATGCCAGAGTGAGGCACTGCATCTTCCCATGCTGGTTATGTCTCTTTATTTCCTGAAGCCCAATCAGTAAATCTTGAAACTGCAGTAGAATTTTGCTCTATTCCTTTAGAATTTTTGGCTCCAAGCCCATAATTCAGTTCTTTAACTGTTTGTTATGCATCCTAATAGATTTTGGGTTGCG